TTGTTGGTACACACGGAGATATTTTACTGACAAGTCGATACTCAGGTAGGGGGCTCAGACGGAGGTATGTTACGGTAAGTCGATACTCAGATAGGGTGCTCAGACGGAGGTATGTTACAGATAAGTCGAAACTCAGATAGGGGGCTCAGACGGACGTATGTTACAGATAAGTCGAAACTCAGATAGGGGGCTCAGACGGAGGTATGTTACAGGTAAGTCGATACTCAGATAGGGAGTACAGACGGAGATATGTTACAGGCGAGTCGATACTCAGATAAGGTGCTCAAACGAAGGTATGTTACAGGTAAGTCGATACTTAGATAGGGGGCTCAGACGAAGGTATGTTACAGGTAAGTCGATACTCAGATAGGGAGTACAGACGGAGATATGTTACTGGCGAGTCAATACTACGGAGATATGTCACAGATATTTTTTTAGTTAAAAAAAAGCCTGACGGATGTTTATTAAGCGAAACAGTCGTAATGATTAAAGGCTTGTTATTGTTGAGCATAAGGTGAGAGTCTTACAAAATGGTTGTATATTTCGGTTCAAATCCCGAATGTCCTTTTTTCTTGATTTGTATTTTCTTTAACGTTTTTATAAATCTTTGTTTTTGTTATACTTTTTCATTCCGTTCAATTTTCTTCATCCCCGTCACTGGCCCTTTGTGTTCCACTGTGTCAGTGTCGCTGTACTCTTGTAGATAGGTGATGAGGTGTTGATAACGGTTTCCCTCTGTAGACATTTTCGAGTTTTAATACGTGTTTTCATTTGCAAATATTTATAGATATTTTATATATTTTAATAAATAGTACATAAATTACGATGTGTAAATGGTTTGTATTGATAAACCGGATCAAATTTCTGGAAAACCTTTTTCACTACAAGACCTTGATAACATGAGTGCGATTTTTTTTTACATGAAATGAAAAATGAATATTTCAAGAAACAAGGAATATGAGAAAAAAATTGTATTGTGAGTTGTAGCTGGGACAGCTCATCCCCAGACAACCCACGAATGATGTATATTTGCCCGAGTAATTAAATTTATTTTACAAAAAAAAATTACGTGTTTTCATATGCAACTATTATTTTAAATATTTGAATACATAGTACATGCATTAAGATGTGTAAATGTTTTGTATTGATATCTTTTTGTATTCATTTTCTATATGCACATTATATTTATATTGCAACAACTACCTAAAACATAGATATGGCTTTCTGTGTGGTACACTTACACATACACCATATATATGTAACCTATGGATCAGCCTCAGTATGCTGAACTATATTATGAAACAAATTATACAAATATTACAAATATTTTCCAAAGATATGCTTGTAAGCGTATGGTTGTGTGTTTACAATGCGTCTATAACATCTCTTTTAATTCAGAAATCACTTGCACATTTGCTGCATTTCGAAAACTATCCCTGATTTGATATAATATTAAATCAATTCTTTAGCTGATATGATTTCTAGCAACCAATCACAGTACGTGTATGATGTACTCGATACAGCTGAACATCAATGAGAAGTCGGCCACGCCTACACAAGTAATATACCGGCTAGTTTGAATTCCTTAAGTAAAAGCCAATGCGACAGGTCATTTGTGTCTGATTATAACATAGACGGTCACGCATCATGTCAAATACATATATGATTTACGACATGCCTTGTTCTGGACTGTCATAGTATTTGTGACTGTTTTATATACTAAAACATACGACTATGCTTGCTTATTACTTTGAAAGATTTTGGTAGGTGCTCTATGCACAATGCACTAATGTTTAACTTGACAATTAGGTATGGACACATGGAAGTGCGCCTACTTGTCGTACGTTCTTAAGCGCTACTATTTTTGACAAGTTCACAGAATTTAAATCAAATAATACGATACTATTTACACACAGATTTACTGCCATGGTATGCCTCAACTTTTGTATTCTTCCGCAACTCTTTTTGTTATGTTCACATAGACACTTAGACCCAGACAGAAATCTTTTTTTTCAACAAATTAACACTTAAATAGTAAAGATATAACATGAAATGATAGAAAACAATGACATTTATATCTACTCTGATGCGTTTTATTCAACTTCGGGCGTCATAAAACTCAATAACACGATCTTCTTTTGTCATCAAATGATTTTGTTTTCCGCTGAATGTTTGTTTAATATGCACCCTGTCAATATAAAATCAAAACATGTATAACTAAGTGATACTTTGTGATGGTTAATGTACAAATCAGTCAAAATATATCATATAATGTCAAAATATATCATATAAGGTCAAACTATATCATATGAGGTCAAACTATATCATATAAGGTCAAAATATAAACAAGATCGTCAGTACACTAAGTGATACTTTGTGATGATTACTGTACAAATCTGTCAAAATATATCATATAAGGTCAAAATATATCATAAAAGGTCAAAATATATCATAAAAAGGTCAAAATATATCATATAAGGTCAAAATATATCATAAAAGATCAAAATATAAACAAGATCGTCAGTACACAAGTTAATGAACATTGTCAACCTTCTAATTTGTAACACTCTTTCTGATTGGATATCTTGTCGGGGTCTATATTTCTATAGACCCCGCTTTGGGTGCTAATTACAAATATAGTTGAATATTGTCCGAAATATTGCCGATAAAGTGTCCGGTAGGTCCTATTTTGGTAGCAGTGAAGTACAACTCAATCTCACGAAGTGACTTATAACTATGCAGAATAAAAGTTATAAAAGATGGTCAGGGCGACAAATTCGTTATCTCTGGGTTAGGAGGGGTCTACGGGCCCACTGACCCCGTCTGATTTTTATAGACCCCGAGCCGAAAACCAGACGGGGTATATGAGCCCGTAGACCCCTCCTAACCCAGAGATAAATTATAAAGGCCACCGCATGAGTTGACGTAGAACCCTTTCAGAAAATGAATGAAAAGAAGTGTGTCGGAAGGGTATGCGCATCCTACATTACCCAATGGAAAAATTAGGCCGTAACTATGGTTACAGAGGTGTGATTGCAGCGTGAGCTCACCAAACATAGGAGTCTGGCCACTAAAACAATTCAGCACATTTATATTTTTAGAAATATATTTCGAGGTGTCTTTGAAGAATACGCAATATTGAAATTAATAAATATCTTAAATTCTCACTCTAGAACCATATTTACAACTGTAATGTGTTATGTTTTCACTAGTAGACACTCACAATATCTAAATACCATTTAATGTTTACGCATTATATATCATTAACAAAATAATAATGGAGTGTGATGTAGGACATGCATAGCATATATACATAAAATTTGAAAAATAACACATTGAGGAGCTCTGATTTCAATTAATTTTAGAATAACACTTCTACAGCGTTAATGAAGACCGAAATCAATATGGCAAGGTAACGAAAAAGGCGGGAAAACCATCGAAAAACTTACCACAGTATTTCAAAATATTCCTTATATCAGAAGATCATAGGACTGGGACATTTAAATGGTTATTAGATGTTAATGCTAAGGTTTTGATACATCATTGTGTGTTAATGCTAAGGTTTATGTACACCATTCAATATATGTATTATTTAAGTTTAAAATTTCTTCAAGAGTGGCAGACAATCAGTCATAAAATGTTAAAATCAGTAACAAGAGTGGCTGACAATCAGTATTCAGAAAGCTATTATGTGATAAGGACTATATTTTCTAGACAGGCGATAGCAGGAAACAATCTAAGGTATAAATTGATAATAATGTTATGTGTACAGTTCAAAATATAGAGAGAGCTATGTCGCCAAGATTTGGTCTTACAACATAAATATTTAGTACATCATATGCTTCTGAGAACATACAATACATGTGGTTATTAATTAAAAGATTTGCTTAATGTAACGAAAATGTACTTACGCCGTTGTTAAAAAATCCGGAGTTCATCATTCCGGTGCCAAAAGCCGCTCCAGTGGAATACTGTGGAAACGGCTACACAGAAACAAAAAAAGTACATTTAATGAGGAACTGTTTTGAACAACAACTCAGAAGAATATATGGCAACCCAACTGAATATTTACTCAAGGAACAATATCGATGTTCTATTGCCTTAAACGTAAATAAGATATGTATATCTTTTTTTAAGTTATCTCTTATGTTATGTAAACTTAGTTATATTACGAGGTGGTTTTGTTTAAGTCGTATCGTAAAAGACAACTAATTTTAGAAACATGGTCTTTTGTGTTTGTAAGATGTCTTATATGAGCTTTTATATTAATACATTGTATCTAATATAAAGAATGAGATGTAATTATACCTCTCGACAGAAAATGTTGCTCCTTTTAAAAGTTAAGATGACTTGGAATAAGAAAATGGAAAATATACAATACATCACTCTCGAGGTGATAATTTAAAACTCACTAATATGAGAGCTGTTGTACACCCTTTGTCGAACACACGTAAACTGACCCTTTTCCAGTGTTTTGCACCGATAATCGAGGCGGAGACCATGTGAATGATTAGAGGTTGATTAGAGCTAACCATTAAATCAGTTTCTACAAATAGTATTGCTTGATGTTTATATAAATCGTCAATATTTGGCATTTTCAAATTTTGCATATATATGGAAAATTATAATGTATCGTCTTTCATCGTGAACACAGGAAATCAGATATATGTATTCAACATTTACTAACCGAGGCGAAGGATCCTCCTGATGACAGTCCTCCAATATTCTACAATGACAAATGCATATAAACAGATCAATATTTTATCCACTACCCCAAACATATTACCGTGTGAACAGATCTACATTTAATCACTACCCCAAAGAAATTACCGTGTAATCATATCTATATTTCATCCACTTCCCCAAACCTGTTACAATGTAAACAGATCTACATTTTATCCACTACCCCAAACATATTACTGAGTACACATATCTATATTTTATTCTCTACCCCAAACATGTTACCTTTTAATCATATCTATATTTTATCCACTACCCCAAAAATATTACCGAGTAATCATATCTATATTTCATTCTCTACCCCAAACATGTTACCTTTTAATCATATCTATATTTTATCCACTTCCCCAAAAATATTACCGTCTTATCATATCTACATTTTATCCACTATCCCAAACCTATTACAGTGTAAACAGATCTACATTTTATCCACTACCCCAAACCTATTACAGTGTAAACAGATCTATAGTTTATCCACTACCCCAAACCTATTACAGTGTAAACAGATCTATAGTTTATCCACTACCCCAAACCTATTACAATGTAAACAGATCTATAGTTTATCCACTACCCCAAACCTATTACAGTGTAAACAGATCTATAGTTTATCACTACCCCAAACCTATTACAGTGTAAACAGATCTATAGTTTATCACTACCCCAAACCTATTACAGATCTGTATTTTATTCACTATCCCAAACATATTACATAGTACATATGTGTACACTTTATCAACTTCCCCCAATATTATACTTAGTACACATATGGACATTTTCTTCCGCTTCCCCGACTCTATTACAAAGTATTTATACCAACATATTGTTTCACTACATATACACATTGTATTCCACTACTCCGATCTAATCCATAATATTTGTTCCACACAATATTTTACCTGTCGACTACTCCGTTACAGTAAATATTTTTCTCTGACCAAATATGATTCTCCAACATAGTACATAGTATTCCGAAAATATTACAATGTAAACATATCCACTTTGTTCTAAACTACCACGAACATATTACACATTACACATATCCAAGTTTTCTTGTTGTTTGGAAATTATATCTTATCATCCAATAAGGACGGTT